TAGACAGGATAGTAGGATGCAGCCCTGGCTGGCCTGAAACTTACTCTATAGACCAGGCTGGCCTTGACTCACAGAGATCTACCTGTCTGTATTTCCCAAATGCTATAATTAAAAGCATGCCCCACCATGCTCAACTTCTTTGGTGATTTTTTGTTACATCTCCCTAACCCCTACTTTTGCCTTTACTCTTTGTGCTTTTGTTGCGGTCACTTTACTTTTATAAGGACACGAGTCCTGTTGGTCCTATTACACTATTCCTCAGTGTGACCTCCTCTTAATAAGTACATCTGAAATAATCCTATTTCTGAATAAGGTTCCATTTTGTGGTTCTACTGCATATTAATTTGAAAGAAAAACCTATCACATGCAGTACTACCTCTGGTATGTATTTTATATTTCTATAAAGTTAATTTTGATGTATAGGTTACTCTTTCACCTTCATTTACTCCTTCCTTGCAATTTACTTTTGAAAACACGTGTTTGTTTTACAAAATTTCCTATTTTTTGGATTTTGCTAGTGGTATTTATATGGGATTGCTTGGCGTATCCATCTATGTTCTGTCAATGCCCTGGAATTTCCTGCCTGAGCTACTGGCACTGGAAGGCACAGTTTTTGTTTATGGGGGACTTTCCAGTGCATCATAGAATGGTTAATAAGATAACTGACCTGTCCCCAATAGATGTCAGAACTCCTCAATAAAACATTTCTCCAAACATTATCAAATGTTTCCTGGGTGGCAGAATCATCTTCCTTCTCCACAATTATCCTTTCTGACTGTACACTAGAATCACTAACTTAAAATTGTTGTTTCAAAACAAAATGGTCCCAGTGAATTAGAACCGATTCTAAGGAGCTATGAATTCAAAGAAAAGAGGAAGACAGTCCCCGAATTGAACTAAGTTCAATTTATTGGAAACATAATGAAAAATATGGTACTGGGCAGTGGCAAGATCAGGTAGATCCTTGTAATTTGGGTCAGACCATAAGGGGTTTAGAAAGTGGTTAAGAGAAAAGTGACTTCTTCAAAACTAGAATATACCTGATTTATTAAAAGCTGATATCAAGGAGTCAGGCACATTCCTGGGTACAGAGATTGGTCCTAAAACTTGATACTACTTTAATGATTTGGTCTAGCAGATTTGTCCAACCTGTAGCACATAAGACACATGTATCCTCAGACAGCTATGAATGCAGCCCAAAACCTTGTCACATGACATACTATGCTGTCAAAAGGTTAGACACCTCTAGATAGTATGCTAGGAAAGTATGCAGAGAAAACTGATTAGTGTTGGGGTAATTTCAGCACCACAGCAGTCTATGACTCAAGGAACTTGTGTCAAGCTAAATCTATGCAGTCTTTATGAGCTCGCTCCTTCCTTTCTTCCTTCCTTCCTTTCCTCCTTTCCCTCCCTCCCTCCCTCCCTCCCTTCCTTCCTTCCTTCCTTTTGTCACCCTGATAAAATTCCTGAACTTAAAGAGGAATTATTTGTGCTCATGGTTTCAGAAGGATCACTGTATTATAGTGGAGAGGGTACAGCAGAGAAGTTCAGAGTGGACAAGAAGTAGAGAGAAGGTGATACAGGTACCCAGGGGCTTTTTCTTTGTTCTCTTATAATTCCATCCTGGCCTGCAGCCCATGAGATGGGGTCACTCACTTTCAGGGTGGCTCTTTCCCTTTCAGTCAATCCTCTCTAAAAATACTCTCCAACACACCTAGAGTTGTTCCTCATCAATCTTCTAGATGATTATAAATATACTCAGGTTGACAAGGAAGATTAGTCATCATAGATAGCAGATGTAGTTGTATCAGGAGGCACACAGGATTATTGTGTTGGTTTTTTTTTTTTTTTGCTATGTTGATATATGTAACATATTACACATAGTTCATGGAATTACCTGTTTATTTTGTTAATGGTTGTAAAATGTTGATGTATTTATTTCATTCCTTTGCTATGGAATATTTCTCTTCATTAATTACTTATTTGGTAACCTGGAATACAGTTTAAATTGGAAAGACAAAATAGAGATGATTTTTTCACTTTGTTAAAGAGTTATGAACACCCAGCATGGTGACACATGCCTAATACTTAAGACGTAGAGGGAGGAGAATGATGAGTTTGAGGCTAGTCACAAAGTGAGGCCCTGCTTCAAAAAACACAGCAAACAAAAAGTGATGAACATGACAAATTACTTTTCTCCCAACATCCAAATGGTTCTAATGAACTTTTGAACTATAATGTGTTCATAGCTTCAAATATATTTGCTATGTTTCAACTAGTGCAATTTTATCTTTACAGCTGCTTCAAACATCCTGAGCTGACAATAGGAGCCACTTTAACACCTCTCCTGAGTCATTTTGATTATATCCTAGCATTGATTATTTGCTTTCTGGTATGACAAAATTGTTAAAGTTATTACATATTTGCTTTCCCTTTACATACTGATAGTCTCTTAAGACTCAGACTGAATTTTCTTATTCCTCATTCTACATAATCTTTAAATAATAAAATCCAACTATCATTTTATTTTCTCTGCATACACACATTTAGTGGATATGCTCTGGATTACTAAAATTGGCCAGAACTAAGCCAAGTGAGAGGGAGTGGTGGAAGACAAATTTCAATGAGAAGTGCATGCTTTGGTGGAGGACTTTCGTTTGTTTTGTTCTTTTGAGACAATGTATCCCTGTAGCCCCATCTGAACAGGAACCTGCTATGTAAGGCTGACCTTGATCTCACAGAGATCCACTTGCCTCTGTCTCTGCCTCCCAAGTGCTGGGATTAAAGGTATATGCCACCATGCTCAGTATGATGAATGAGGGTTTTTTTTTTTTTTTTTTTTTTTTTTTTCTTCGTCTTTTTGAGACAGGGTCTCCCTGTAGCCCCAGCTGTCCTGGAACTCACTATGTAGACCAGGCTGGCCTTGAACTCACAGAGATCCACCTGCCTCTGCCTCCAGAGTGCTGGGATTAAAGGGGTGTGCCACCATGCCTAGCTCTTTTATTATTTTGTGTGTATGAGTGTATTGTCTGCATTTATGTGAGTGCACCATTGTCATGCAATGCTGTGGAGGTCAGACGAGGGCTTCAGATTCCCCTGAAACTGGAGTGAAGGACAGTTAGTAGCCACCATGTGGGTGCTGGGAATTGAACCCAGTCCTCTGCAGATTCCCCTGGAACTGGAGGGAAGGACAGTTAGTAGCCACCATGTGGGTGCTGGGAATTGAACCCAGTCCTCTGCAAGAGCAGTCAGTGCTCTTAACCACTGAGCCATCTCTCCAGCCCCCATAGGGGTTTCTTTAAAAACCCAATAAAAGCAGACATACTGTGCTGGTGGTTCAGGGGTTTTAGGTTACCAAGCACCAGTTGCAACCTATGGTATGTAACCTGGCCTTGCTTGATACAATGAGTATCAGGAAAAACGTTTCAGAAACTGTTTCCTGAGGAGTGTGGTCACCTTAAGCTTGTGTAGGCGTGCTTTTACATTTTATGAATGGATCTTTGAAATGCCCAAGGTGTTTTCTCTTTCTACCCTCCAAAGGGCTCAAACTCCAATTTTGTCTCCCTACAGAGTTCGTACTATTTTAGCTTCTAAGGTGTAACTTGTTGCTCAAGCATCATCTCAACCACTTGCCTTCTCACTCATCTCCAGTCTGGTTCACTGGGGTTCCGTTCAGATCCTTCATATCGTCTCTTTCCTTCAAGCCTTTGTATATGCTACCTCTCTGGAAGACTCTTGGTACTACTATTAGCTCATTATCCTTTAAACATCAGTCTCACCTCAACACACAGGCCTTTATACATGTTTATAGTAACCTTTTAAAAAAATTATATGAGTGTATTACCTGCATGTACATAAGTGCACCTGTGTCGTGCAACGCCTGCAGGGGTCAGAAGAGGGCCTCAGATCTCCTGGAACTGAAGTTACAGACAGTAGTTAGACAGCCATGTGGTACTGGGAACTGAAACCAGGTCTTCTGCCAGAACAGCCAGTGCTCTTAACTGCTGAACCATCTCTTCAGCCCCCTAAAGTAACCTTTTGTTTCTTTCATAAAATTCATTTTAGCTTTAAAGTTATTTTTCAAGCCTTGCAGCCTTAACTAGAAGGTAAATTTAGAATTCCTTGGAGGCAAAAACAGATCCTAAACATTTTGTTGAGACAGGGTTTTCCTGTAACACTAGCTGGCCTGGAATTTGCTGTGTATACCAGGAGGGCCTCAATCTCACAGAAATCCACCTGCCTCTGCCTCAGAATACGCCTGGTTAGAGATAAATACTTAATCCCAGGGTCTAGAACAATATTGACAGTGAAACAACAGTAAACACTACTACTTGAATAAATAAACATCTTTTTTTTTGAGACAGGGTCTCCCTGTAGCCACGGCTGGCGTTGAACTCACAGAGATCCTCCTGCCTGGCCTATCGAGTGCTGGAGTGCTGGGATTAAAGGCGAGAGCCACCACTCCCGCCTTAGGAACACCCTTTTTATTCAGTGTCTCTTACTATTCCAGGCCTATCAGGGCCTCCACCAAACATTTCAGGCGTCCCCAGCAACGCAACACAACCTCAAAGTCCCCTGGACCATGTGATAGCCGGAAGGAGGGCAGGTCCCAGGGGACATCCGGGTTGCGGAAGGCGGGGTGACGTGCTGACGTCACGCCCTTCTCGTCCCGCTGCCCCTCCCTTTTCCGCTCTGTGACGTTCCGGGAGAGAAACTGAACGTAAACAGCGCGAGGCTTTTCGGGAGCGGGATTGTTTCACGCAGGAAGCAGGCTCCATTTTTGTGCCGCCCGCCGTCGCCATCGGTTTCCTCTCCCCTCCCCCTTGGTCGTGTCGTACCTCAGCGGGCCCAGAAGGTTGAGGCCAGGGCAGCCGGAGGCCGGAGTGCAAGGCGGGAAGGGGAACGGAGGAAGCGAGGAGGGGGTGGGCCTGGAGCGGGGGAGCGGCGCAGGCTAGGTCAACGCGGGCAGCCCGCCGGACGGACTGACGGACGGGCTCGTGCGCCTGCGGCCGCGTCTGCGGCGCCCGCGCGACTCCCGTCCCGGCGGCAGTGGCGGCGGCGGCCGCGGAGGCGGCGGCGGCGGCGGCGGCAAAAGCCGGAGGGCAGCCATGGCTGCCGACAGCCGGGAGGAGAAAGGTGAGTGCGGAGAAAGGGCTGTGGGGCGGCAGCTCAGGGGCGGGGCTGGAGATTTGGGCCTAGCGCGGAGAGGGCCGGCACCCGACGGAAGCCCCGGCCCTGTTCCTGGCGGGCTCCTGGCTGAGACCCGACCGAGGTCCGGCTCTCTGATCCCAGTTGGATCTCTACTCCCGCTGAGGCACCGGCCCGGGTCTCGGCATCTGGCTGAGGCCTGGCTTGGCGTTCTTCGCCTCCGGGAGACCTAACCACCTCCGCCAGGGCTTTACTGCGTTCCGAATCCACTCCGCACTTTCCATTTAGCCGTCCCGGGAGCGGCTAAGAGAGGGCCTGTAGTGAGTTGCAGTCCCCTAGGCTGGTTCCCTGGTAGGGCTATACGTGTGTAATACCTATTTTCAGAACCATCTTTCTGTTTGATTTAGTTTTGAGGACATTTAATGTCACAGCCCTGATAGACTAGAGAGTAGGCATGAGATTGTTGGGTTATTAATCTCAAGAAATATCTACAAGTAACTTCTGACTGTTCTGTTAAATAGAATTGCCTGTTTTTTTCCTCAAGTACTACTTTGGAAAGAGGATACTTTGAAAAAAATAATGTGGCTAAGGCCTCTTGCCATCCCCTCCACAGGTCCTAGTAACTATTTATTCGTTTAGGAATAATGTGCATACCGCCCAGAGGTTACAGCCAGGAATACATGGGTGCAGGTTATAGAGAGTTGGAGAGAGAAAATGGAAGAACTTAATGTTGCTAAGATAAAATGACGTTTCTTCAGAAATACCTCCCAGACATTTACAAGTATTAATGCAGGTTCTACAACAGTACTTCTATGGAGTGGTCTAGATTGGATGCTGCCTTGAGGTCTTTCTCAGCCTTAAGATGACCGTGGCAGTCTTGGAATAGTAAAGATGAAAATACAGCACAATTGCTGCCCTGTGTTTCTCAGATTTCTTAGGTTGTGGCTAATTAATTGGGGAGGGGTTGTTAATTGAGCTCTAAAATCAAGTTACATTAGGCCTATGGTCTTCTTTTTTCCTGGTCTCTGTGTTGAGCATGCTTCAATTAATTGCTCAAGGATAAGGACAGTTTGAGAAGTAGAATGGATGGGAATATATTTCAGATGTCTTTGTCATAAGCAGTTTTTGATTCACTAATTGTAGCTTTAAAGATTCATTCAGACTTTGTCAAGATGCACTTTATTAATATGGAGTTTTAAAGGTTGCCTTTGTAGGCAAGGTGAACTGTACACAACAAAAAAAAGTTCATTTCTCAAGAATATATTGTCTAGGGGTTGGAGAGGTGGCTCAGCAGTTAAGAGCACTGGCTGCTCTTGTAGAGAACCTGGGTTCAATTCCCAGCACCTACATCCAGGTAGCTCACAACTACAGTTGTAGGAATCTGATGTCCTCTTATGACCTTTGTGGGCTTTGCAGGTGCACTTACGTGCAGGGGATACATTCATACACTTAAAAATAATAAATATTTTAAAAAAGAATATATTGTCCATTAGAATGAACATACTTAGAGTTGGGTAGTAGACAAAAATGCACACTGAAGAAAACCAATAATTTTTGTTTTAGAAGTAGCTGTAAGTGAAGATGCAGTTCAAATACGTAAACTTTTTTATGAAGAAGCACTGGGGGACCCAGTGCCTTTTGCATACAAAAAGAGTACTGTACTGTTGAACCACATCTCAGTCATTTTTCTAAATAAGGAAGAATTGTACCTCTTTTCTGTTACAATAAGTATTTTACATGAATTTTATTTGCGTATAGTAGTCTACAAAGAGCAGTTACTTCAAAATGTATGCAAGTTTACAGTTTTGTAGATAACTTTCCATATTACCAGACTGCAGGCTCCCCCAGGGCCAGGAGTATGTTTGCCTTGTTCACAGTTATTGTGTGTATTTGGGGTGGGGGGTTGGGGGTGTTGAGACTGGGCCTCCCTGAAGCCCCAGCTGGTCTGGGACATGCTGTGTAGACTAGGCTGGCCACGATCTCACCTTCCTCTATCTTCCAGTGCTGGAATTACAGGTGTTGCCACCATGCCTGGTGTACAGGTTTCTTTTAAAGCAGTTATATCTCTATACCTTAAGTATTTATGGTTTTGAACACTATTAATTTGGGTGGGATAATAAATTCAAGTCCATGGACTTTTTGAAAGAATGCTTTCAATAATAAATGTACCTGAGGAATTCTAATGTTAAAGTACTTTGTAAGGTAACAGAAGGAACATTGCTGTAAATCTTGCTCTTTGTTTTACTCCAAGCAGGTGAATTGACAAAAAAAAAAATGAGTGATGAACTTTGGTGCCTGAGTTGGAAAATGTATTTAACTTTTTAGTTTCCTTTAAGTACTCTTACTCTGATGCGGGACCTGGACATAAATAGTATTTTATATCCTCTGACCTACAAACTTCTGTGGTTAGAACAGTGTGTCCCAGCTAGACGTTACTTTGCTACCCTGATACCTCTGGAGTTAAGGTTTGTGATCTAATATACAGTTGTGAGATTTTAGTTAAGTCATTTAAATTGTTTCAATGTCATTTTGGAATTCTTGGTACAAACATAACCATATGAAGCTAAACTACTTTGAGAACTTGTTCCTCCTTTAGTCTAAAACAAAATTCCAACAAGCAACAGAATTGTTAGACTTGTTACGCTTAATACGTTGAGATGAGAGATGAGAACAAGACTCCTAAGAATAGTGTTCATGTATTGTGCTGTGCCATCTCCCTCCACCCCCACTTTTTTTTTTTTTACTGTAGTGTCCATATACGTTAACAATGTAAATAGAAAATATTGGCAGATTGTTTCTGTATATTAGCTGTTTTGTTGTTTTTTTTTTTTTTGGCCTAGGGTCTGCCTTACCCCAGCTGGCTTGGAACTCAGTATATAGAATAGGCTGGCCTTGAACTCAGAGAGATCCACCTGCTTCTGCTTCTGGAGCGCTGGGATTAAAGGCTTAGGCCACCACACCAGTGTCATTAGCTTTTTTTTTTTTTTGAGGCCGTGTTTTTTAATTTTATTTCATGTGTATGCATGTATGTCAGTGAGTGCACCTGAGCCATGCAGTGCCTGCAGAGATCAGAAGAAGGTGTTAGATCACCTGGAACTGGAGTTACAGATGGTTGTTAGCCATCATGTGGGTGCTGGGATTCTAATCCAGGTCTTCTGCAAGAATAGCCAGTGCTCTTAACTGTTGAGCTATCTCCAACCCCATGAGACAATTTCTTTTTTATTTAATGTGTATGTGTGTATTGCCTGCATGTAGGTGAGTGTACCTGTATTGTGCAGTGCCCACAGAAGACAGAAGAGGCTGTCAGATCCCCTGGGACTGGAGTTAGGGACAGTTGTTAGCTGCCATGTGGGTGCTGGGATTTGAACCCGGGTCTTCTGCAAGAACAGCCAGTGTTCTTAACCACTAAGCCATCTCTCTAGCCCTGAGACAATATTTTTAAAAGTAACACCATTCCAAGTAAAAATCTGAATTTGCAAGTGTAATTGAAACAATAGCAAGATATAACAATACTTACATTCTTTTAACAAAACTAATCCATTTGGATTGAGTAGAATTGTGCCCTGGCCCCTGTGCTCTTAGAAAATATAGTCCTGAACTCCACAGCAATATTTGAGTTAATAATGGATTACTTGTATGATGAGGATCCTATAAGAGTATAGTGCCTTAAGGGGTTGTAGATATCTTCATCTATGAGCATAAGATGTTTACAAGATGACAGAACTACCTAAGGTTTCACACAAATTTCTCAGACACATTTTCTAGAATGTGAACACATTGATATATATGCCTGTATGAATTGAAATAGAAGTTTGATGCTTCTGTGTTACCTTTTGAAAGGAATGATGGTATCTTTTTAGCATTAGTATTATTTAGGTTTTGTAGGCATATATTCATTCTAGGATCAGGCAGATAAAGTTCTGTAAACACAGAGGCAATACTACTGTGTTTAGAGAGACCAGACATGGCCTGTATTCAGATAGTATCAGTCAATACACTGTTTCACCAGCATGAACCCAGTGTGTCTCTTGCAAAGCCTTGACATGCCTCCTTCTCTGTTTTAACAGAAGATTGCCAGGATGGCTCCAGCTGGTTGTTTGCAGGTGAGAATCTGGGTTTTTATGTTAAATATTTGGTTGGCCCTTTCTAAAACAGAACACCCAATTAAGTACTTATGCATCCGAGGTGTATAGGCACATGAAATGAGTAAGTGCTGTAATAGTCATTTTATTGATTAGTAGTACATAGCTTTTTAGTGCATTTGAATTTTAGTTCTAAATTGGAATACTATTGAATGAAATTATTTCTTTGAGCTAATTTTATTGCTCACATTTCTGAGAAAAAATTTTTTTGCAGCTTAATTTTGAAATAATTTTAGTTTTAAAATGATTCTTTTAGGGCTGTAGTTTTCTGTGTAGCATCAAAAGAAACTCAAATGTGCTTTAATTCCACAGAAATTAGGATTATTTTATAGTCCATGCATTATATCCATAGAACTTTTCTTAAAAGTGGTGTTTATTAACTTATGCTCCTTTTACTGCTAGTGTTTTGGTTTGGTTAGGGTATTATCAAATTACTATGAAGTAATTGGATGTACACATTGAATATATGCATATAGGACCTCTTCTCACCCAAGAAATTTTTTTTTCTTTTTTGAGACAGGGTCTCCCTGTAGGCCCAGCTGGCTTGGAACTTGATTCATAGACCTGCCTTCTGAGTGTGGGGATTAAGGGTTTGTGCCACCAAAGCCTGTTTGGCTGAATTTTTAATACTAGAGGTTGTTGAACATTTACAGTGATTTTCACTTGACCTATAGTTAGGTTTTGTAATCCTTGATGCTGATAATGGCCACTTCATAATAATCAGTACAAAATGACAGAAGTATGTTTAGAGTTGTTTCAGATCTTATTGGAAATTCTTTCCTAATCCCAAGCCAACCAAGCCTCATTTAACAATTTTTATGAAACTCAAGTCAGCAACTCAACAAACAGCAATTTTTAAAACCAAACGCTCTTAACATGTAGTCAAAGATACATTAATTGATATGTTGGCAGTTAACTGTAGGAAAATATTTTTGTATTCCGTAAGTAAAATTTTCTTTGTATTTCTGTAGGAACATAAAACTTAAGCAATACACTAAAACCCAGTGCAAAATACGCATGTCGTTTGTTTAGAACCAAGGCTACAGTGTAATCTTGGTGTAACATAGCAAGTGCTTCCAGAAACATTTCAGGGCTATTACATTTGAGTTTTGAATTAATTTTTTATTGCTCTGCATTCAGAAACCTTTTACTGGTGCCAAATTATTGACCATCCCATCTTGTTAAGGATTTGAGATTTACAGTTTAGAGTGCTGTGGCATAGAATATCGGTGATAAGCTTCAGGACAAAGAAAGTGATGTTAAACATTTATTAAGGTACTTTAAAGAAAGTTGTTCCAAAACTAATGACTATTTCATAGAGATTATTTCCCTATGTCAGAGTATAGTCTTTAATAAAGCATGTTCAGTGTTATATTATTTTTCTTTATAACCATTTTAAGATGAAAAATTAATCGAAACATGTACAAAGTATACTTTTATAGCCAGTGAAGGAAGTCGCCAGAGGAATCACCTTAAGTTATATAATAGGACTGGAAAGATGGCTCAGCAGTTAAGAGCATTTTCTGCTCTTATAGAGAACCAGGGTTCAAATCCCAGCACCCACATGGTAACTCACAACCGTCTTTAACTCCTGTTCCAGGGGATCTGATGCTCACTTCTCACCTTCATGGGTATCGCATGACATGGGTGCACTTAACATACTTGTAGGCATAATCCCCCCCCCCTTTTTTTTTAAAAGTTATATAATTCATTGATCTCTTAAAACTAACGGTATGTAGTGGTTTTTAAAGTGTCTTCCATTTTTGACATTTCTCCCAGCAATAAAGAGATGTATTCCTTCTCTTTGAACCTGGGCAGGCATTTATTGGTTGTCTCTTATGAATAATAAAGTACCAAGATACTGTTGCTGGGTTCTACTTAGTTTTCTGTGTTGGGACATAGCATTCAGAGACATAGCTGCCATAAAGGAATGTGACCTTAAAGAAAAATCCAAGAAGCCCCAACTGTTTTGAGGCATCTCAGCCTTTTCTTTAGCCCAAAGTGTTTGGACCAGTCTTTGGAGGCTTTTAAACTTGGCCAACATGATCATTAGACCCCTGAGAAATCCCAACCCCAGTTAATCCCTGGAACAATGAACAATAATGAAAAATAATTGTTACTACTGTAAACCAAATTTTGGGGTGATGTCATTGGAACATGGATATGCTTATTGAATAGATTTTATTCTGTGTACTAGATTTTATGTATCATGTAGCCTAAGTCATTACTATAAAAAGGTTGAAGTAGGTAGAGTTTATTAAGATCTCACCATGGTAAGGAAAGGTGTATAGGTTGAGACACTCAACATTTTCTTTCCCCAACACTGATCTATTTATTTCTTTTTGTTTGTTAAATTAGCATACAAAGTAATAGGTATCATGGCATTTCAGACAAGGTGTGTTTAAGATTCTCTCATCCTTCCCCTACCTCCCTGCCCCCCATAACCCCTTCATCTCTTTCCTCTTTGATGTATGTGTGTTAGAATTATTGTGTGATATTCTTAATGTCTGGTTAGAGGCAAAGAAACTTAAGGGTTCAGAAGATTGAATTCCCAGTACCTAGTTACTATAAGATAACTTGGATTTGTTTATCTCCTAGTTTCCTTTCCTAATAGTTTCTATTTGTATTATAAGGATGAGAGAATATAAAACATAACTTGTTTGAAATGCCATTTCAAATGCCAACAATTCTTGGTTATATACCTGCCAGTATTTGGTGGGACATAGATGTCATAGATTACACAGTAATTAAAACTGTCCCCCTCTTGTGAGGGTGTTATGATAGCTCTTCTGTATCAAGTAAATTTTATATGTTGCTGTGGATACAGAGCCAGGGCTCTCTGGTACATTACATTGAAATTTGTGCTTATTACCTTTTTTTTTTTTTTTTTTTTTTTTTTAAATAACACACCTTCTTTTTAACACCATAGGCCCACCTGGCCTGGAACTTACTAGTTAGCCCAGACTGGCCTCCTCCTCACACAGTTCTTCCTGACTGCCTCTAGAGTGCTAGGATTAAAGGAGTGTGCCACCACACCCAGCTTACTTTTTAATAGTTTCTATTTGTATCATGTCCTTTTATGTTTCATTTAAGTTTCTTTATTATTTCCCATCTAATAGATTTAGAAAGCTTGAACTCCAGATTGGTATCAGTCTGTACTAAAAAAGTATGCTTCATTAACTTCAATTTCTGAATTTCTTTTTTATTTATTATTTTTATTTTATGTGTATGAGTGTATTGCCTGCATGAATGTGGGTGCACCCTTGTTGTGCAGTGCCACGGAGGTCAGAAGAAAGCTTCAGATTCCCCTGGAACTGGAGTTAAGGACTGTTTGTAGCTGCCATGTGGGTGCTGGGAATCAAACCCGGGTCCTCTGTAAGAGGAGTCAGTGCTCTTAACTGCTGAGCCATCTCTCTAACCCCTTAAACTTTTATCTTCATTTTTGTTTTATGTATATATGTGTATTGCCTGAATGTATATGTAAGTGCACCCGTGTTGTGCAGTGTGTTTGGGCTTTGGCGCTGTTATTTTTACTTGAAATTAGTGATTTCAGAAATAGATTTGCATATCATTTTCACTATTTTACCTATTTCGTGATAGTTTTCCACAAATGGATTTGATTGTTTCAAGATCCTTCGGTTCCACTTTTATTGATTAGAGAGCTTTGAGCAGGTAATCATTAAATACCTTCCAAACTTGGATTGTTTATACCAAATCATTTAAATTCTTTAAAAGTAAATCATACAGCCTAAAATGGTGTTTGCCTCCATTCAAATCTGGAGGGATCATTAAATGATATGCAAATCTGGTGAGATATCCTTTTTGTTCTACATACCTTGACTTCAGTAACATTTAAAAAGCAAGTGAAGAAATATAACTCATGTTATATTTCTTGCATTTTAAAGTGATAAATATAGATAAATATAGCTCCTAGAGAAGCCAGTTGTAATACCATAACATATAATTTTCTAATCTTTCTTAAATAGAAACCTAGTATTTCTATTTTCTGTGTAGCTTTGCTTTTCTTACTGCTTAGTACAGGTATCTTCAGTCACTTATTTCTTTTCTGCTAATAGGAAAAAAAGTCCCATTTATAGACTCCAAGCTGTTAAATCGCATTGTGCTTTGAGTGGGCTTTGTTGTCTGTCCACAGACTGGCTATATGAATATTTTGTTTCATCAGCATTTAGAACTTTGTATATCTCTGCTAGCTTAAATTTGCAGACATTTTTATACTACAAGACTTAATATTGGCCATTAGCTTTAATGTATGGCATATACAAATCAATAGAAAGTGGCAATTCTGTGTACTTCTGAGATTTATTTTTTTCTTGTTAGTTTGAGAATAGAGAGACAAAATTGAGTTCTGTTTTTAGGATCTGTTAAATTTGTCAATTTAGGTAGAGTTGCCTTTTCTGAACAAGGTATCCTCTTTTTATTAGGAGGCTGCCAGTGTTTTAGATCGTGTAGCACAGCAATAGTTATTTTGTTTTTTGTTTTTCTGGGAACAGGGTGTTACTGTCTTGCCTAGGCTGGCCTGGAACTTGAGAACTCTTGCCTCAGTCCGCAATAATTTTTATTCTTACAACTTTACTGTCAAGGCAGCTATGCTAACTACTATACCACCAGTGCTTTGGTAACTTTATTTTGATAACAGTTTGAGGTAAAGTAGCTATAAGGGTAGTACAAAGAATTTTTGTGTGCTCTCCACCATTTGTCAAATTTGTTTGTCTCATTTTCTCTCTCTCACTCTCACTTCTGTCAATCTGTCTTTGAATATGTGCTTGCAGGCCCATGTTTTTTTGACCGTTTGTCTGTTGTGGACATGACACACATCTTTTTCACTAAATACTAATTCACTAAATACTTAATTCTTTTTTCTTAATCATACTATCAGAATTAACATTGATACTCAATACAAAAACTTACTTAGATTTCGCCAGTTTTCCAAGTTAAGCCTCATATGTATTCAGTTGTCTCTCCTGTTTCCTTTAACAAGGAATGGTTTCTTTATTTCTGGATAGACCTTCAGATACCCTCTTATATGGGTTGACTTTATGTTCTTCCTGTACAGGTTTTATTTTGTATTTTAGGTATGACCAAAGAACTGTTACTGTTCTAAGTCCAGAAGTTTCCTGATGGTGGTTTGCACCATTCTGATACTAACTTTGATTACTTGATTGAACTGGTGCCTACCATGTTTTCAGAACTTACATAGTAGAAACTCCTGGCTTGGTAGGTAACAATTACATATATCCTTTACCTTGTATTGTTTAGTGCATTTGATCCTAAAATAAGGCCTTCTTGAGGGATATGATCACTTATACTTAATACTAAAAAGAAATGGTTAATAATACTGATATTTTCCTAATTTTTCAATTTGTTTACAGATGGAGAACTTAATGTTTTAGATGATATTTTGACTGAAGTACCAGAGCAGGACGATGAACTGTATAATCCAGAGAGTGAACAAGATAAAAATGAGAAAAAAGGTAAGAGTTGTCATTTTCATTGAAATAACAGTTTAAATAAAGGAGATTTAATATCAAAAAAACCTATATGACTCCAAACATTGTGAATAAAAGTACTTCTAAAAGTATTTAAAACCTCTTAAATGTTCAGGTTTAGTTTAGCAGTTAGGAAACTGTTTTGTTTCAAATTTTTTCTGTAGTAAAAACACTTTAGACATTTAAAGCTGTTAACATCACGGAGGTTTCTCTCTCTCCCTGATGTGTATTATCTGTAAATCTTTGGTGAAATTAATGAAAACTGCAAGTACTTTTACATGTCTTTTTAAATTATACTTTAAAGGATCAAAAAGAAAAAGTGACCGAATGGAATCTACTGACACCAAGCGACAAAAGCCTTCTGCCCATTCAAGACAGTTGATTTCTAAGCCACTAAGTTCATCTGTTGGCAACAATAAAAGAATAGTTAGCACAAAAGGAAAGTCGGTCACAGATTATAAAAATGAGGAATATCAAAGATCTGAAAGAAACAAGCGTCTAGATGCTGATCGGAAAATTCGTCTATCAAGCAGTTCCTCTAGAGAACCTTATAAGAGTCAACCTGAAAAAACTTGTCCTCGGAAAAGGGATCCTGAACGAAGGACCAAATCTCCTACACCAGATGGTTCTGAGGTAGTAAATGTTATTGCAGATAATAAAACAAAGCAGTTCTTTTGAGGCTTTAGAACTATTTGTTCGTCTTGACCTTGTCTGTTATATGACTGCTGATTCCCTTTTTCTTTAAACATCAGAGAATTGGGCTTGAAGTTGATAGACGTGCAAGCAGATCCAGCCAGTCTTCAAAGGAAGAAGTGAACTCTGAAGAATATGGCTCTGACCATGAGACTGGTAGCAGTGGTTCTTCTGATGAGCAAGGCAACAACACTGAGAATGAGGAGGAAGGAGTGGAAGAAGATGGGGAGGAAGATGAAGAGGTAGAAGATGATGCAGAAGAAGATGAGGAAGTAGATGAAGATGCAGAGGAGGAGGAAGAGGAAGAGGAGGAGGAGGAAGAGGAGGAGGAGGAAGAGGAAGAGGAATATGAACAGGATGAAAGAGACCAGAAGGAGGAGGGAAATGATTATGACACACAAAGTGAGGCCAGTGATTCTGGTTCTGAGTCTGTTTCCTTCACAGATGGATCTGTCAGATCTGGTTCAGGAACGGATGGATCAGGTACTATTTATGTGAAAAGATTTGCCCCTTTTTTTTAAGGACTTCATTGGCTTTGGAGGTGATAAAGAATTGTTTCTGTTATCTCTTATAACTTAATTCTGGGCTACTGGGTATAATATGTTTAAATAATTTTAAATGAGATTTACTAATTTTGGCTGGGTGTGGTGGTGCATGACTTTAATCCCATCTTGGGAGGCAGAGGTAGACCGATCTCTGGGATCGAGGCCAGCTCAATCTAGTAGCAAGTTTCAGGTCATCTAGAGCTACAGGAAGCCTATCCCAACCGCCCCCTCCCACCCCCAAAAGGTACTTAACTGAAGAGATGAGTTGTTGGATGAGTAGTTACAGAATATTCGTTCCATCATGCTCTTTGCATATATTTTTTTCATATTATGTAATAGATAGGGCATTAGAAATGATTTGGGAGATGGGTTGGCAGTATAAATGTGAAATACTAAGCACTTGGGAGGCTGAGGCAGGAAGATTGTGAATTCGAGGATGTGTGATACCCTGTCTCAAGAACAAAACCAAAAAGCATTGCTGGTATGACTAAATTGTCAGTGATTGTGGAGATATGTGAAACCACCCATAATAGTAGAGGGTATTTTCTTAGAAGGATTGTCTTGTTAGGTAGGAACAGTGTTAGTCTTTAATGTTACTGTTAAATAATGAGGTTTATTGAAATGATTAGGGTCTGAAATAGTTTGCATTTTTAACAAGTTCCTACGTGAATCTTTTACTCTACTTCATTTTACCTTACTTTGTGGAGCATACATTTCAGATTGAATGGCAGCCCTACAATCTTATTAATAGATGCTAAAATTTTATTAATAGATTTAAGAGCTAGCTGGAACCCTGAAAATCCCTTATGTGGAACCACTTTAGACACTGCAGTAGATAATTTTTCTCATAAGGCAATTTTGATTATTAGGTGGCTGTTTTTAAATTTAAGGGAATCACAGTTGGGTATCATTTTTCTGGACTCCAATTTACTTTCTCCAGGTACTTTATCTTTTCTCGGGATTTTTTTAGTAACTTATAAAGTGACACACTGGTAGATAAAAGCTGTATTGGCTAGATGGCCTTCTTTGTGCTTTTGTCCTAAGAGTAATTAAGAGGAGGCCATGATCTTAAAGAATTGTGGAAACTTTTCATATAATATGCTGAAAGTGTCTTTGCTATTTCTCCTACTAATGCCAGGGTTGACATGACTTAGAATCAGTTGGACAGGATCTTCTGCTTGTATTTATTTTTCCTGTGTTATCGCTGAGATTATAATACTTTGATGTACTATTCTTTTTAAACAGCTTCTAGAGATGTGTTACTCTTTCAACCTAAGGAATTTAGTAATGTTAGACTCATCAGTTGTTCAGAGAGGAAAAATTAAATATGTCACAACTTTGGAAAACAAATAACCCTCCAAAAATTAGCCAGTCCTAGAAGTACCGACCTTACTGTTTTGCTCAAGAATTAGTAGAACGGCCCAGTTTCATATCTCAAGAGCACCATGGGCAAGACCCCTAGTACCTCTATTAGGGTACGTCCTAATAAACCCTTGTGCTACCCTTCCCCAAAAGAATAGAGCTCAGGATTGTACGCTCAGGCCTGAAGCCCTGCCTCATCTTTTGCTAACTGAGGATCTGTGGGACCTTGGCTTTACTTGGCTCTTTGGGTTGAGGTTTCCTAATCTGTAATTGTGACTATCTCAATGAGTGGGTGCTAAAAATTGAGAAGAAAATTCTGTTTTTTTTTTTTTTTTTTTGAGTAGTTCATTGTCGCTATGTAGTAGGACACTGTATGTGTGATCATTATTTTTTCAGCTCTTTTGCAAAGTAAATATATTCTTATCTCTTTATATTCCTTCCTATCTTCTAGCTAAAGAGTAAAGAACTTTTTCATGGTAATGAATAAAATGGCAAGAAACAGGAGAGCTTAATTCGGTTTCAGTCCTCAATACATGCTTACAAAATTTCAAATTAAACTTGATAAGAGTCCTTACATGATGGGTAATCTAAATCTTTTTCTGTGTACTGAAGATTCCCAGTTCTTTTAAATAAATACATGAACTACCATTAAGACCTAGTGATAAGTTTAATGTAAATTAAATAAAAATAATTATTCCAGGGAGGAAATGGTAGAGAGCAGAATTGAAGATACATAAGACTAAGCTTTGCATCAGAAGGGTGAAATCATTTTGGAGGCGTGTGCATGCATATGGCCTTTCCAGTTGGAAAGTTTTGAGTTCTGGTGTTCTCAAAAATCTTACCAATGAGTTTGTGATGAACAAACCACAAGATTTAGTGCATTGCTTCCTGGTGTATAGAAACGACATAGTAAATTTTATTGAAGAAAATTACATTTGTTTTACAAATCCCCTCTTGTAGAAAACTTTATTCAGTGTTGTCTTGCTTTGTAGGGTAGTTAAGTACCTAAGTGCTTGAAATGGGTGACAAGAACAAACAGTATTTTTTAACAGCATTTTTAAGTGGGACACCCGAGGAAGTTCAATGAGAAGAGATAGAAGCAATAACTAACACTTAAGAGCTGTATAAAAACTACATCTAAAGGACAAGGTTCTCTATATTGTGATAGTTTTGAAACTTGTTTGGATTTTTTGTTGTTGTTGTTGTTTTAGATGAGAAAAAAAAGGAAAGGAAGAGAGCTCGAGGCATATCACCCATTGTTTTTGACAGAAGTGGAAGTTCTGCATCAGAGTCATATGCAGGTAATCCTATTTAACATTATGCTCATTTGATTGATTGCAATCTGCTTTAGAAAGTGTGGAAGCTGTAGTTTAGTGTGAACTTGTTGATGTTCATTAGTACTGATTTTTGGCATGTTCAGTGTAATAATTCTAGAAGAAACTAAGCTTTTTCTTATTTTAATCCTGTTCTGTTACTGCTTCAGTGGAATTTCCAATTCACTTTTTTTTTCCCTTGGAAGATGATGATTCAGTGACTAGTTTTCTGAGTGGGAAATTGTTCAAATATATTTTTTTTAAAAATTCAAACAACCCAAAAAGCAAAACACTCGTACACATTGAGAAGTATTTTTTGTGTGTTTGGGTGCGCCAGGAAGAATAATATGTCTTGAATGAGAATTTTATGTGACAAGACTGTAGAAATTTTGCCTTATCTCTATTAAAGCTCAATCTGAACAAATGTACTTTGGCTAAATACAGGTTCAGAAAAGAAGCATGAGAAATTATCATCTTCCGTTCGTGCTGTCCGAAAAGGTATCATTTAAATTTGAAATTGTTTTCATTGCATGCCCCATAAAGTCATTATTTTGCCTTATTGGTTCTGCATTAATAGTTTTAATGTGGTAATGTTCCGATATAGCACAAGGGGAAAAGTATTATAAACAGCTCCATGCTCTATTTGCTTTTCAAATTGGGTATCTTAAATTACTGACAAGGATATTTTAGTTTCTGGGCATACTGATTAGGTATATACAAGCATGCACATATATTTAATACAAAACAGTATGCGATCAGTCCATAGATGAATTGACAAAAATCTATAAAACTTAAAGCCATTCTCTTACTTAAAATGTATATCTGATATATCGGAACATCACTGGCTTAGGTTTACCTTCTTGCACAATGCTGGTCGTCTTTTCTTAGCTTTGCTTTATTATATGTCGTGGCTTAGCTTTCTAGGTTGAATGGGTGATTGCTGAGTTTTTACAGTTTAACTGGGTTTTAGATGGATAATTTTAGTACAGTTTTCACTTGTTTGTGTGATAATGGTCTGTGATTAATAAATACGAATTTTTTTTTTTTCAGATCAAACCAGTAAACTCAAATATGTTCTTCAGGATGCAAGATTTTTCCTCATAAAGAGTAACAACCATGAGAATGTATCTCTTGCCAAAGCTAAGGTATTAGCTGTCAGCTCTGTTGAAACTATTCTTAAGCCAAAATGTTTAAATGAGAAGGTTGATGAGAATTACCTCCAGTAGCCTAAGATGCTTTCACTTTCATTAAAGCAATTAAAGATCTACAGTCCACTTCCTACTCACTATCTGATTTTGGCGAGTAAGGAAACCTGGTGGTAATTTGAGTTACTTACTTCATATTTTATAAATCACAGTATTTGGTGTTGAAGATTGCCTAGTTTAACTTTACACTATCATAAATCTGTTAATATTTCTATATCCAGTTGTTAATATCTTTTTTGAACAAGTAAAAGTTTCTTAGGCTAACTTATATTTATACTGATGATTGTTTTGTACTTTGAGTTCCTTTTGAAAAGAAGCCTTTCAAAAGTTCCTTTTGAAATGAACTCTCTTTATGGAGAGTTCATTCTTTAAAAGTAAGATCTCTTAATGATATATATGGAAAAGAGAGTATTAGCTTTAAAGGCTCACCCCAGACTACCAAAAGGAGTTACTGCAGGATTTTGAGGAAATAAAAGTGCATTTATGTTTTATGCCAGCTATTAAATATTTTCAGTCTTAAACAGAGGAATATTTTCAGCTGCTTGTCAGAATGTTACACATTTTTCTAACCATATTTCAGTCAATATTGATAGGTTGTATTTCTAACTTAGGTCAGTAGTTATTCATAAAACTCTACAAGTAGAAGGTAGCAAGTAAGAGCCTAGCTAGTTGCATTCTTCCTTATCTCTCCTGGGGTTAGGCTACAGTAAGTAACTAAGTACTGTAGTGTGAATGAACAGACAGCTGATGACTGTGAGGAAAAGCAGAATTTCTCTATCTTCATCTTACTATTCTGTCTGTTTTATTATGAACTGGTTAAAATATTTCGTGGTCAATAATTATGTTCCAGTTCTAGGAAAAAAACAGAGGCCTCCTCAACTTAGATAAAAAACTTCGCACTTAAAACACTAGAATTGTTCCAGGACAGCTAGGGCTACAGAGAGACCCTGTCTCAAAAAGACCAAAAAGAAAAAAAAAGCCACTAGAATTTTGACATTCTTAGTTTATGGCTTTACTACTAATCTTTTACAGTTAATTTTACTGAATTCTAGCCCATAAAATTTGCCTAATGCTTTCTCCTTGTTTACTGATTGAACTAATGATTTTGTAAAGTTGCTAGTTTCTGCTTATTTTTCCACATAATTTCCAATACTTTTTATAACCAATGAATGACTTTTATTATAGCTTTCTTAAATTTCAGACAGTGAAATCAGTAGTTTTTGGTCTTTTCCAATATAGCTATGGACATGTGCATTTCAATTTGTGATATTTACATTATTTCTGTAGGGTGTATGGTCCACATTACCTGTAAATGAGAAGAAATTAAATCTTGCATTCAGATCTGCAAGGAGTGTTATCTTAATATTTTCTGTCAGAGAAAGTGGAAAATTTCAAGGTAAGAAAAATAATTTATTTTTGGCATATAACACTATAACACTTACTAATTACATTAGCAACCTGCATACTATTTGGTAATAATTATGATTCCCTTAGGGTTTGCCAGACTGTCTTCAGAGTCACATCATGGTGGATCACCTATACACTGGGTACTTCCAGCAGGAATGAGTGCTAAAATGCTTGGAGGTGTCTTTAAAATTGACTGGATTTGCAGGTAAATTATGTGCATTAGTAGAGAAACCTGCTGTGTTTTTGAGTAGTGAACCAGTTGAGAATAATGTTAAAATATACTACGTTGATGTTAAAAATAAAGACAACATATCTTGCCATTACACTTTATGGCCTTTATAATCAAATATAGGATGCTGAGAGGAAAGAGTTACTGAGTTACCTGTACTTCAGTTGTTGGGAATATCTGGCATTTCTAGTTACATCCAATTACTCTTTGAATTGCCTGATAATTTTGGAGACTTGATTTATTGGTGGACAATTTGTTTTTAGGAACACTGCATGCTCAATATGCTGTCTATTGGTTTATTACATGTATATGAGTGTATTGCCTGTATGTGTGTAAGTGAATACATGTTGTGCAGTGCCCTCAGACGTCAGAAGAGGGTGTGGGATCCCATGATTGTTAGCTGCCATGTGGGTGCTGGGAATGGAACCCAGGTCCTCTGCAAGAGCATCCAGCTCTTCTAACCACTGAGCAATTTCTCCAGACCCAAGTATCTGTTATTTTTAAAAACAGGATTAAAATTAAACTATGTTTATTAGAAAATTAAAGTTTTATTTATTTATTTTTTTTGAGGCAGAGTCTCCTTTTATTTACAGCTGGCCTGGAGCATACTATAGACTAGGCTTACCTTGATCTCACAGAGATCTGCCTGTGCAACCACCATGCCTAGACAGAAAAATAAATTTTTGTAACACTGAGTTATTAAGCCAAGTTTTCGTGGCATAGTAAAATTATTACCTGTAAAATTAAATATCGAATCATGAATTCTCTGTTACTTAGAAGTTGACCATGAATATTGGATTTTGAAGGACCTAGAAGCATTAGTTTTGCATAAATAACAAAGTTAGGTATGGTGGCTCTCACCTGTGATACCAACATTTGGGTAGCTGAAGGAGGGGGATTAGTGCGCTCAAGGCTGTCATAGACTACATAGTAGGACTGACTTAATAAACCAAAAGAGAAGTACAGAAGGAAAAATGATGTTTCATTCATGAAGACAGCATAAGAGGAGCATGGAAACATAGCATTGAGGTTGTATGAATGCAATAGAGAACTAACTTTTAAAATTTTTTATTGAGTTTTTGTGCATTTCCTATAATCTTAATCAAATTTAAACCCCTTCCCTTGCCACATGTCCCCATCCCCCCACCATATTTTAGGTATTCTATCATATATGTTAAGTCCTATCTGGTAAAGCATTGTGGGGTTTTTGTTTGGTTTTTTTTTTTTTTGGTCTTTTTGAGACAGGCTAGCCTTAGCTAGCCTGGAACTCACAGAAATTGGCCTGCTTGTGCCTCCAGAGTGCTGGGATAAAAGGCATACCACCATGCCCAGCACCAGTCAAGCTTTTGTACCCATATGTCCCTCTGTGCAAGTCCATCCACTGGAGTCAGCATATCTAGAGTCACTTACTTGAAGTAATCATTTGCCAATAGTCTTTGGCTAGGGTTGGGACCTGTTGCCCACTTCCCCCATTCTGAGTTTTTGTCTAAGTGAGTCATATTGGCTCTTGTGCATGCTGTCACCACAAGTTCATAAGCAAGTTCCCAGAGGCCTGGAAGCCTTTGCTTCCCTATGTTCATGTACCAACCCTGGCTCCTACAATTTTTCTTTCCCTTCTTCATCAGTGGTCCCTGAGCCATGGGTAGGTGAGGTTTAGTATAGGAGTCCTATCCAGGGTTACATACCATACAGTCTCTTGCTCTCTAAAACTTTGTCCGTTAAGGACTTCTCTGCGCATCACAAACTGTTGTATAAGGAGGTTTCACTGTTGAGACTTGAGGAATGTGTTAGTGTTCTCTCTACGTCCTGTTCTGCTGTATTTCATGAGCCTTAGGTGTAGAGATTCCACTGTAGATGTGTCACTTAGGACATCTCACAGACATATTTTCTGTGTGTGACCAGTTGTGGAACTGTAATAGCCTTCATCTGTTGCAAAAAGAAGCTTCTTTGATCAGTAGTGTACAGTATACTTGTCTGTAAATATAAGGATCCATATTTAGCATACAGAAAGAAATTTCATTTGTCTATAGATATGACAGGGCTTTCTCTGGGATCTGTGACCTCCAAATAAGGGAGAAAGAAATTTCATTTGTCTATAGATATGACAGGGCTTTCTCTGGGATCTGTGACCTCTCCAGCCTGTGTATTTGGCTATATTTACAGTACTACCCTTGAGTTGCCTCCCATTGATACCGCTTTAAGTCCAATTAGCTGTTAATTACCTTCTAGATCAAAGTGCCACTACTGCACCAATAGAGATAGTTTGTTGTGCCAGTTGTTGTGGTTATTAGATTTTACAGTTGGACTGGAGCATCGATTGATTTTTTTCTCCCTTATTAGTTTGCATAGTATCCTGTAGAACTATGAGAGCTGGTGTTCAGGGGGAAGGCTTCCAGGTCAGTTACAGCTCCATTGGGAAGCTACCTCTTTAAATGAATCAGATAGTTATGTAAAAGAGAAGAGCCAAAGGTAAAGAAGATTAAGGTGAACCAGCCTAAGCTTATATATACTCTAGCTAGGACTATGATGAAGATAATCTTTAGATTATCCGGAGATACTATATAAGGTTGCTTATGAATGGAGAAGTGAAAAACTTTGCAAATCACATTCAGTCTATCATTGCTTTATAGCAAATATTGAAAAGTGTCTAAATTTTTATAAATGTAAAATTGGTTAGGTAAAGAATGGTTTGTCTCTTAGGTACAATATTTTTCAAAAATGATTGTTCGTGTAATAACATAAAAATAGAATACATTAAAATGATATAATTGCAATATTGGAATATAGAGTGTTGGGGTGAGAAATTCTCCCTCTCTTGCCCCATCCTTCCCTGGTTTATAAATGTACAGTTCATTCAAAATTATAAATTGACTTACAAACTTTAAAAATTGGTGAGATGGCTCAGTGAGTAAAGGCATTTGCTGCCATGCCTGACAACTTCGTTTGATCCTTGGCACCTATAATGTGGAATGAGAACTGAGTCCTACAAGTTGTTCTGACCTCTTGTATGCTGCACGTACATCTCAAACACATACAGTCACAATGAATATTAAGTTTTTTAAATTTGGCGATATGATTATCTTTAATCTGGGACATTTAAAAAGGTTGTAATTATTTATTTGCATGTGTATAATTGTAAAAACTGAAGGAAACATTGATGTCATTGTAGAATATTTGGAGATGATGCTTTTTTGAGAACAGGAGACAATTACTCATTTTTAGGATTTTAGATTGCAATAGGTTCTATTTTGAATATTACTTGTATTACCTAAGCTTAGCATAATTTCTCAAATATTCATCTAGGATTAAATTTATTGACTTGTTTTACTGTCAGTTCTTTCTCATCCATTCCAAATAACCCATTTGTCTTTCCATTGTTTCTTTTAACTTTAATGACCAACCCATTATTTAGCATAGAAGAGGCTGTACCACATTTGATACTCTTTTGTTAGGTTGCCGCAGGTTGAGTGGCTTAAGTCATAGTATTTCCATATTGTCTAGGTCATTCATAGCGAAGATATGTCATAGCTGTACTCTTCATACCATCTGTTCTGGATGTCTGTTCTGTAACAGATAGTGAGAAGAAAGATTAAAGAGCATATGGTGC